CCAGAGCGTTGACCCCGTTCACCTGGCCAGGTATGGGGATCACCTCCTCCCTGGTGACCTCCATGACCTCCTGGGTGCCGTTGGTGGAGTTGAAGAGCGACTCGTTGACTGTGACCGTCACATGGACCTTCCTCTTTCCATATTTGGTCTTGAACTGTTGGGAGAGGAGAGTTTGAGTTTGATCGTCTCCAGCCGGTTCCTCAGACGGAGGTCGGGTTCTCCTCCTTCACCGGGTCTCGGTCCAACAGAACCTCTACAGGAAGTGAGGAACAGGAAGTGAGGAACAGGAAGTGAGGAACAGGAAGTGAGGAACAGGAAGTGAGGAACTGGAGGTCTCTCTGGACCAGAACCTTAGCTGTGACTTTAGCGGATCTGCAGAGGTTTTCCTGCCGCTCAGTTTCAGTTCAAATGAATGAATGAATCGTTTCAGCAAACAGATTCACTTAGTGACTGCATTCGTTTGCCTGTTTCCATGGGAACCACCTGGTTGGACATAAAGTCTCGTTCCTGTCGTCTGATTTATGTTTGATATTCAGATCATAAATGAGGAACCAAGTGAACCGAAATGATTCCTGAAAGATAAAAGCGCCACGCTGTGCAGAGACGCCCTGCAGGCTGTCAGAAGCTGTGATGGAGACGAGGTTAAAGGTCGAGCTCACTGACCTGCTGTGTGCAGGCCTGGACCAGGTTGGGAGGGAACATGTTTCTGAAACGAGACGATGAAAAGCGTTGAGCTGCGAGTCGCGGCTGGTTGAACGTTGGGAGCTTTGGGTCTGAAATCACCTGATGAGGTCCAGGAAGGCGTCGGCGGGGCTGACCTGCTCGATGCTCTGCTGCTTCCCAAACTCGTCCTTGGAGCCTTTTCCCGGATGGATGATGAGGACGATGATGATCCCGATGAAGACGGCGATGATGGTGGTGGTCATGTAGTAGATCACCGCGCGCATCCCCATCTTTCCTGACGCCTTGCTGTCCAGCGCCGCCATGCCTGAAGCCACAAACGTTTATTATGTGACGACCGCTGGTTTAAAATCACATCCAGACGTGACTGGATGAATCTCTACAGACTCTATGAACTTTGCATAACTAGTCTCTGATATTTTAATGTTTGTCAACAGATATCTTCTAAACTTTTAACATTTTCATCCATAATTATCTGAAAGATTGATTGATTTATCTTTAAAACGACACAAATCATAAATTAACTCTGTTAGAAATAAAAAGATATTTTTGGTCTAAGAAACTAATAATTAAATCTGTTAATGTTGAATTTCAGTTTCCTGTAATTGTTTCTCTCTGTCTTCATTTTGATCTTCATTATAAACTCGACTAAATTTATTCCTGTTTTAAAAATCTACATTTAAAACTTTAAAATACGAAATGTTCAGATTTAAGGTATAAATGACAATATAATGAACAAAACAAAGTGTAGGAGGTGAATAAATGTTAAACTTCTGAATGAACAGACAGGAAGTGCTTTTATTGTGATATCCACAGCAGGAAGTGTCCTTTTAATGTAGCAGTTAGCTTAGCAGTCAGATGATGCTGGAAGTCAGCTACGTTCAGTTTCCAAATAGTTCAGAAAGACATTCATGTGGTCATTAAGATGAGGCTAAAGCTAACTCTAGCAGATTGCTATTAGCCATTAGCATCATAGGATGCTAATGTTCCTTAGAGTGACTTCCTGTCTGTCTCCATCACTTCAGATTAAAACTCCAGTCAGACCTGATTGGTCCAATTGAGACGTTTATCTGATCTTAATGTTTCATCTGGAAGATTCTCTGATTTTACATGAAATGATGGAAAATATTGTTCAGAAATAAATAACAATCTGAGCAAATCCAAACTGATTTTACTTTCAGACATTTTATTCACATTGAGGCCATTTAAAGGCCGATTGGGTTAGGGTTGGGGTCAGGGTTCATTTCAGACTCAATCTGTTGGGCTGCATGTGGCGCCTGGTAACCTGACGGCGAGCAGCGGATGGATACGTGGCGGAGGAATCTGACCGGTGATCAGGCTGGAGACGAGCAGCGGCAGCACCAGCATCTGCAGCATCCTCATCAGAACCTCTCCAGGGAAGGAGAAGTACTTCACCTCCCGGTAGCTCATCCTGTAGGGGAGCAGCGCGAAGCCCAGGATGATCCCTGCACAGAGAGGAACCGGTGACTGTCCGCTCGGCCGCGCGGCGGGACGCGCGGCGGGACGCGCGCGGGACGCGCGGCGGGACGCGCGGCGGGACGCCTGCTGAGGGCCACATACCTACGACCACGGCGCCCACCGTGAACAGGACAAACGCGTTCTTCCTCAGGAAGGCCTGGACGTCCTCCTTGGAGATCTCCTCCACTTTCCTCTTGGCCTTCATGGTCCGGATGTGGATCCCTTCCCTGATCCGCTGCATCCTGCTCACACGGAGGAACGCTCCGTTATTCAGCCGGGATTCAAACCCACAACCTCTCACTTCACGGTCTGTTCTGGAAACAGGCTTTTCTAATAAAGAATAAATGAAACGTACTTCCTGTGAGGCAGTAATGTCACCAACATGTCTACCATGAACCGTCACCAAAAACAGTGAACGAATGAAGATTCATTCATTCATGCATTCATTCATTCATTCATTCATTCATTCATTCATTCATGCATTCATTCATCTATGTCACAGTTTAAAACTGAATGTTTAATTAGCTGGTCAACATTTAGCTTCATGCTAGCTCTGATTTAGCGCTAAACATGTAGCTTGCTAACTAATTAGGTTATGAACTAAATATTTAGTTGGAGGTTAAACATTTAGCTTGCTAACTAAATACAAGCTAAATCTTTAGACATTTAGCTCTGAGCTAAATGTTTAGCCATTATGCAAATTTGCTTGCTGATGACCGGAAGTGGAGATGAAAGCATCAGCTGGTCTTACTGGTTTTAAATCTAATCCAGGTGTTTATCAGAGGAGCAAATCTAATCCAGGTGTTTATCAGAGGAGCAACAAAATAAAACCCCGCTTTTATTTTGACAGTCCACATCCGGTTACTTGAGTACTAGCCAAACAAAGCTAAATATTTAGTGACAAGATAAAATAATAAACCTGTGAAGTTTTTCACAGCATGTTTCTGTCACTCTGACTGTTTGCAGGGAACAGTGGAGGGAACGCGTTCCCACGTCATGTCTGAATATTTCTGATCCCCCTCCTGCTGGATGGATGTTGGGCTCCAAAATCTTTTCCAGAAATGTTCAAATCCTGACAGATAAACTGTTTTCAGGTTGAAACTGGAAGCTTTTCCTCAAACTAACTGGGATTCAGATTTCCAGTCAAAGTCAAAGTGAACAAACTGGGACAGCTAACAGTTATTAGCAATCGATTGATCTGTTATTCTGAGGGTTAATCAGTTAATCGGATATTAAAATGGCACAATCATCAAGCCTTTCTATGCAATATATATAATATATGCAATTTTAGAAATTCATTCAAAGATACAAATAAACAATTTAATTCCTTTTAAAAATGAGAACAAACATTGTCTAAACTTTAGTAGCATTGCTTTAGTAAATCAGGTATAACAGCTGAAACAGGTGATGATAAATGTTTTTATCTTAAGGGCAAAATGTATATTTTGTACAGTTTTCAGTTAACAATTAATCGCAGACAAAATTAGAGATGATAATCTTAGTTATCAATTAATCACGATTTAGCCAGAAATGTGATTTAATTTAAAGGTTAAAGTCTGAGGAGCCATTTGATCCAACAGGAGAACCCTGATGATGATGATGATGATGGTGGTGGTGGTGGTGATGAAGATGATGGTGGTGGCGGTGATGAAGACGCTTCCTCTCCTGCTGCATCCTGTCAGGGAGGATCTGCTCACCTGTCTGCCTCTCGGTCTCAGTGATGCGGCTGCAGAGTCGGAGGAAACTTCCTGATCTGCTGCTGCTGGGCGCTGAGCTGCTTCACCTCCCGCTGCAGCAGAGGGAGGGACGGGACAGGAGGACGGGGCAGGAGACGTCCTCCTGATCCGCTCCGACACGTCACGTCTGTTTGTGAGAATAAACTGAACCGTTTCAGGGAGAAAACAGGAATGAGGTTTGGAGGATGCGCCGCTTCCCGCTGGGGACTCGTGATAGTTCCGGATGGATCCTCAGAGGGAAGCTGCAGCACAATTAGCTGGGAAAGTGGATCTGGAGCGGGAATAGGTGACCTGACTGGCCCCAGGAGGCCGGAGTGAAATTAGAGGATGAGATTCAGACTCTCACACCCAGGAGCCGCAGTGGACGGAATGACCCGTCTGTGCGCCGGTTCCGACTCCTCACAGAGACCCAAACTCTAGGAAATGGTTCTGGTTCTGGTTCCGGATCGGACCACCTTCATCCTCCAATAGTTGAATTAAAACACAATAAAAACACGTCCAGAAAAGCAAAACTCAGATTGAAATCCAAACTTTTAATACATTAAAAAGACCAACACCTTCAATTTCAAATGTTTTTATGGTTAATTCCAATCAGGAGAAAAAGTGGAGATTTATAGAAATTTAAATCCAAAAGTGATGGCCTCATATCCCCACTGTCATGAACAAACTTCATTTTACATATAATGCAAAACTTTAACATAATTAACTGATTTTTCTGGCTGAATGTGTTCATTTATAACCGAAGCATATTATTCAATGCCTTATTTCAGAAATGTGTAACCAGCTATATTCATGTTATTCAGAAGATAAAACATAATAAGCGAAAATGTCTAATTTATCAGAAATTTCGCGCCCTCAGGCAGAACCTCCGCGACCCCGATAGGGGTCACGACTCCCATGTTGAAGTCCTTACGCTTTTGAATCAGTCGCAATTAAAGAGCCGGTTAGCGGCCACAAGATCCGGCTCTTTTAGGAGCCAAATGAAGCGGATCTCGGAGAGAATGTGGAATTCCCAGCACCTGCTGCGTCACGTACGTAGCCAATCCAGAGCAACTTCACGTAAGTTACGTAGATTCGGAGTACGTGCCAAGGTGCCTGGTATGTGTAGCAGCTTTCAGTTTCATGTTTTTCTCTTTATTTAAAGTTTTTTGGTTCTGGTTCTGTTCAGAACCGAGTCGCTGCTCAACGCGCTCCGAGCTGACGAGTTAAATCCGCGGAACGGCTTCGATAAGCGGCTTTAGGGCAGGAGCGAGCCCCGCAGCTAGTAGCTTTAGCTGGTCAGTTGACCAGGTTAGCGGCTAACTAGTTAACCAGCTGCTGTCCTCCTCACAGAGACTCCGGGCTGGAGAGCGGCGAGACCCGGTGACCTTCACGGACTGACGGCTGCACCGGACCGGCCATGGCCCCTCACTAACAGCAGCAGAACCCTCGGTTCGGCTCGGCTCGGCTCGCCATAATCCGGCTTTCAGGTCCCGGTTCCCGCCCCGCTCGGAGGAATGGCTCGCTGCCCGGTGGCGAACCTGCTGCGGTTCGGGACCAGGGTGGCCAGGAGCGGCTTCCTGCGGCCGCTGCACGCCGCGGCAGGTTGCTCCTCCACGGAACCAACAACTGGGTTCAAACCGGACAGGGTTGCCGTGGTGACCAAAACCACCCGGTACGAGTTCGAGCAGCAGCGGTACCGGTACGCCGGACTGTCTGAGGAGGACCTGAAGCAGCTGGTAAGGAACTGTTCTGGACGGGTCCACAGTAGGATGGGTTACAGTGGGACTGGGTCATACTGGCAGGGTTCTGGTCGTTCTAGTCATACTGGTCAGAGTTCTGGTTATACTGGTCAGGGTTCTGGTTATACTGGTCAGGGTTCTGGTATTTGTGGTTCTGGGTGGAGGGAAAATTGAGTTTCTGCATGTTTCCACCTTAAAATCTGAAAAGTGTGTTGTGCCTGTGTCCAGCCTGAAGCAGCGATGGAAACTCTTTAACCCTTTGTTGCCGCCTCTCCGTTGTGTTTTTGCATCATTTCCTTTTTGCATCATGTCTTCTCGGCCTCCAGTGGGTCGGGGAAGATGGCTGCTTGTACCAAGTTCTGGTTCTGCTGGAGTTTTCTTTGTTTTTAAATGGAGGTTTTCCACTGTCGCCCCCTGCTGGTCAGGAGGAGTGACGCTGTTTTCCACAGCGAGAACTTGTTCTGTGTTTCTGTGCATGTTGGTGTTGACAGGAGAGAACAAAACCCCCATGGCTCCATCACCTCGACCTATGACCTCTGGTTTCTTTCAGCTAGCAATGAAGGGCTCCAGCTACAGCGGCCTGCTGGAGCGCCACAACATTCACACCGGCAACGTGGAGCACGTCGTGCAGAGCCTGCAGTGAGTCCAGCTGCGTGTTGCTGCTTGTTGCTGCGTGTTGCTGCGTATTTGTGCTTGTTGCTGTGTTGCTGCGTGTTGCTTCTTGTTACTACTTGTTGCTTCTTGTTACTACTTGTTGCTGCGTGTTACTACTTGTTGCTTCTTGTTACTACTTGTTGCTGTGTGTTGCTGCTTGTTGCTGCTTGTCACTGTGTTGCTGCGTATTGCTGCGTATTTGTGCTTGTTGCTGTGTTGCTGCGTGTTACTACTTGTTGCTTCTTGTTACTACTTGTTGCTGCGTGTTACTACTTGTTGCTGCGTGTTACTACTTGTTGCTGCGTGTCACTATGTTGCTGCGTGTCGCTGTTTGTTACTACGTGTTACTACTTGTTGCTGCTTGTTACTACTTGTTGCTGCGTATTGCTGCTTGTTACTACTTGTTGCTGCGTGTCGCTGTTTGTTACTACGTGTTACTACTTGTTGCTGCTTGTTACTACTTGTTGCTGCGTGTTGCTGCTTGTTACTACTTGTTGCTGCGTATTGCTGCTTGTTACTACTTGTTGCTGCGTGTCGCTGTTTGTTACTACGTGTTACTACTTGTTGCTGCTTGTTACTACTTGTTGCTGCGTATTGCTGCTTGTTACTACTTGTTGCTGCGTATTGCTGCTTGTTACTACTTGTTGCTGCGTGTTGCTGCTTGTTACTACTTGTTGCTGCGTGTTGCTGCAGCTCTGACTGTGTCTGCAGGAGCGCCGGCATCCAGGTGCGGGTGGTGAGGAGAGGGGAGTACGACGACGAGGTGGTGCGGTGGGCCGACGCCATCGTCTCTGCTGGAGGTAAGCTCCGCCCCTCTGGTCGTGATAACCAATCAGAGCTCAGCGCCGTTGCTAATGTTTAGTAGCTGGAACAGTTTCTGTAAACTTCAACCTTCAGACAGAAATAATGTGTAACCATGGCAACAAGGTCCAGTTGGCGTCTATAAAGCTGAAATAACCCCTGACCTTTGACCCCACACTGTCCGCTGGTACACTGGCTGTTACAGGAGATCCTGCAGCATCACTCAATTATTGGGTCAAATCCTGCAGAACTTCTTGGTTCTGGAGTTCCGGTTCCTCCTGAGAACGGGCCGTGGGTCGGTTCTGCTAATGTTGGGTTCATGTTTTCTCTGCTTGTTTATGAAATAAGAACTTAAAATGCAGATTGGACCATCTCTGGTTCTGGTTCTGATAACAGTTTGTGTTCCAGGTGACGGGACGATGCTGCTGGTGGCCAGTAAGGTTCTGAACAAGGACAAGCCGGTTGTTGGGGTGAACACCGACCCAGAGAGGTAAGCCCCGCCCATGTTTAAGCCCCGCCCCCTGCATCACCTGCTTCACCTGGCCGTCTCTCCGACAGGTCAGAAGGTCACCTGTGTTTGCCGGTGCGATACACCCACGCCTTCCCAGAGGCTCTGGAGCGGCTCTGCCGTGGTGAGTTCAGGTGCGTATTCACCTGGTTCTCGTGGTGAGTTCAGGTGCGTATTCACCTGGTTCTCGTGGTGAGTTCAGGTGTGTGTGTTGCGGCTGGGTTAGGGTTAGCGAGTCACATGGTGCTCCGCTGCGTGTCCCGGGACTCGGAGGCGACTCGTTGATCCTCTGCTTAGTGCTGCAGAGCGCCATGCTGCTGCCACCGACACGCCAGCTCTGATTGGCTTAGAGCTTCAGCTGGTCTTAGCCGCAGAGATCAGGCTGTAAGCTGTGAGCTTAGCGATCGCAGCTCATCGCTGGAACAGGAAGTGGAGCGAAGATGATTCCTGGTTTCCTAGAAAACCAGCTGGAAAGTGTGGCGTGCCTTTGTCCCAGAGGTCTCTGCAAAGGTGAGCAGAGACCCGACGAATCAGAGGGACTGGAGATAAAAGCACCCCACACTTTTCAGATTTTCTCTGAAAAGTGTGGTGTGAATTCTTTTGTCTCGGTGTGTAAATCTGGAGTTTCAGACAGTTGGATTAAAAAGCAGCAGGTGAGATTAAGATTAATCCCAGGATGAGCAGAAACGGGACCAATAAAGGTTCTGTTCAGTCCAGATCCTCTTAACCTGGAGGAAGAGGAGGAGGATGAAGAGTTCAGTCTGTAGCTAGCTGCTAACATCCCTGTAGCTGACGCTAGCTTTTAGCCTCCCTGTAGCTAATGCTAGCTGTTAGCCTCCCTGTAGCTAACGCTAGCTGCTAGCCTCCCTGTAGCTGACGCTAGCTTTTAGCCTCCCTGTAGCTAATGCTAGCTGCTAGCCTCCCTGTAGCTGACGCTAGCTTTTAGCCTCCCTGTAGCTGACGCTAGCTGTTAGCCTCCCTGTAGCTAATGCTAGCTGTTAGCCTCCCTGTAGCTAACGCTAGCTGTTAGCCTCCCTGTAGCTGACGCTAGCTTTTAGCCTCCCTGTAGCTAATGCTAGCTGTTAGCCTCCCTGTAGCTAACGCTAGCTGCTAGCCTCCCTGTAGCTGACGCTAGCTTTTAGCCTCCCTGTAGCTGACGCTAGCTGTTAGCCTCCCTGTAGCTGATGCTAGCTGCTAGCCTCCCTGTAGCTGACGCTAGCTTTTAGCCTCCCTGTAGCTAATGCTACTTGTTAGCCTCCCTGTAGCTGACGCCAGCGGCCGGCCTCCCCATCAGAACCGGGCCCAGCTGTTCTCTTGTGTCCAGGTGGTTGTGGCGCCAGCGGCTCCGGCTGGACCTGGAGGGAACCGGGATCAACCCGACCCCAGTGGACCTGCATGAGCAGCAGCTGAGCCTGGAGCAGCACAACCGGGCCCACCGGATCAGCACCGTGGAGCGGCAGCAGAGTACGCCTCACAGAACCAGGACACCCATTAGAACCGTCCTTCAGAGGAATCGGTTCCGGTTCCGGAGGCCCGGTTCTGGCAGTAACCAGAACCGTGTCTGTGCTTCGTTTCAGGAGCGGGAGCGCTGCACCCGGCCTATTCAAAGCCCAGCCTGCTGCCGGTGCGCAGCCTGAACGAGATCTTCATCGGGGAGTCTCTGTCCTCCAGGTACCGGTCCGGCCCGGCCCGACCCGACCCGCCGGCCGCATGTCCGTCCAGAACTCACGCCTGACTCTCTTCCACCACAGGGCCCAGCTAAAAGTCTTCACTCCCCGTCTCTTCCTCCATAGGGCGTCCTACTACGAGATCTCGGTGGACGGCGGGCCCTGGGAGAAGCAGAAGAGCTCCGGGCTCAGCGTGTGCACCGGAACCGGGTCCAAGGCCTGGTGAGTCCGGACCGGGACCAGAACCTCATTCTGAACCTTAGCCGTTTCTGTCCCAGTTCTTCAGAACCTAACGGTTCTTAACCGGTTCCTTACCGGAGCGCCGCTCAAAGAATTCAGCCTCTGCTGTTTAATGATCCGATCAACAAATCGCCGATCAATAAATGTTGATTGACCTGCTGGTTTTTCTTTGGCCTTTTCTGTTTTTAACTATTTTTAGTTTATTTGTTCTTCCTGCAGGTCGTACAACATCAACAAACTGGCTGAGCAGTCGGTGGAGGAGGTTCTACGAATCGGTACGTAAAACGGCCCGGTTCGGAGTGACTCGGCCCGGTTCGGAGTGACTCGGCCCGGTTCGGAGTGACTCGGCCCGGTTCGGAGTGACTCGGCCCAGTTCTGAGTGAAACGGCCCGGTTCTGATGTTCTGTTGTCTGCAGGAGCGTCTCAGGCTGGAGTTGAATTCGCACTCAGCAGGGAGTTTGTAGGGAAAGGTGAGTTTCTGATCCAGTGGAGCAAGTTCTGGTTCTGGTGTCTTTGGTTCTGGTTCTGATGTCTTTGGTTCTGATGTTTCCTGGTTCTGGTTCTGGTGTTTCCTGGTTCTGGCCCAGTAACCGATGACTACAACGCGTCCCTGGTGTTCGCCCCAGACGAGCCCCGCCTCTTCTTCAGCGTCAGGGAGCCAATCAGCAACCGCGTTTTCTCCAGCAGCCGGCAGAGAGGCTTCGCCAGCAGGTCAGTGCTTTGACTAGGCCGTCCAGCGCGGACAGGAAGCGGTGAACGCTGCGGCTTCTTCTGCTCCTGCAGGGTGTGCGTCCGCTCGCGGTGCTGGGACGCCTGCATGGTGGTGGACGGCGGCACGTCCTTCGAGTTCAACGATGGCGCCATCGCCACGGTAACCGTAAACGAGGAGGACCGGCTGCGGACCGTCCTGCTGGACCAGTGAGGCCGGTCGGCATGGAGACAGGATCAAGATTGACTCACTAAGCCCATAATGAAGTTCTGATCCAGAATAGAGAGCAGAGCTGCTGCACCATGTGACCAGCTCTGCTCTGATTGGCTCAAACCAAACGTCCAATCACAGGACAAAGATCTAAAACCCATAAACACACTGGACCAGTTTACCCAGCAACTGATGCAGACATCCCATAATAAACCATTTTTATCTGTACTGCATCGCCGCTGCCTCACAGAATCTGCCTCTGGTTATTTAACCCGACCCGTCAGAACCGGATCCGAACCGGGGAAAGCAGCCAGAAGGAGAACCGGACGAGGATTCACACCCATTACGTTCTGATCAGAGCTGAAATGTTAACGCCTTCATTCTATTCAGATTTACAGCGCAGCTACACCCGCTAGCTGACGCGCAGCTACACCCGCTAGCTGACGCGCAGCTACATCCGCTAGCTAGCTGACGCGCAGCTACACCCGCTAGCTGACGCGCAGCTACATCCGCTAGCTAGCTGACGCGCAGCTACATCCGCTAGCTAGCTGACGCGCAGCTACATCCGCTAGCTAGCTGACGCGCAGCTACATCCGCTAGCTAGCTGACGCGCAGCTACATCCGCTAGCTAGCTGACGCGCAGCAGCGATGGAAGCTGCTGCTCTGATCAGTTGTTTCTACTCCTCTGATTGGTCGCTGTGATCGGTCCGCCTCGCAGTCTGGACCTGGAACCAGTAGGAACTGGTTCCTAGCAGAGAAGCTATGCTAGCCTAAACTAGCATCGCAATGCTAACGTAGCATTTCCTGTCCAACACTTTCGATTGAAATGTTGCTGATTTTGTCAACAGTTTTTGATTGAAACCCTGAAATATTTAAATGGTTTTTATTTAATATCAGTGTTTTATTGCGATGGACAAAAGCAGAGCGACAGGAAATGATTGATGATGGATTATTTTCTCTCCACCAGCCGTTCAGACATAAACCAGTTTCCCTCATTTTTCTCCAAAGGTCTGAAAATCAGCTACTGTTTCCTTTGACTAGACCATTTTGACCCATGGGCTCAGTAACCTTTACAGTCCAAAGAGCCGTTTTTATTCTTATAATTAACTAATAAAATGTATTTATAGAACCGTAAAACCTGCAGGGCCCTTCAGAATAAAAGCTTTTCAAGTTTTATGTTAATTATGTTTCACAGTTATAAGAAAGACCTACAAATATGTATGTAGTTTAGAGTTTGAAACTATTTTATTCATTTTTATTGAATATAAGGAAAATCATATAGAATCAAAATTAAATAAGTGAAAATAAAAAGTTTTTGATTCTGTTTTGGAAAATTGATTCAAATTTAACATGAAATCAGTAAAAATTCAGTTCCAGACATTTTAATCGTAATTAAAACGTTTCAGTTTGCAGGCAGCAGATTTGATTCGACGCTTTCAGGAATAAAAATTCATATTCAGTTTTATTCAGAATCAAAAGGTTCGTTACTCTGAATAAACTTCCAATCACTGATGAGTTTTTTCATTTTATTTGCATTGAACCGTTTTTAAAGTCTGACCCTGGATCCGGTTCTGGTCATAGTGATGCAGCAGCAGGTCAGAGGTCAAAGGTTAAATAATAGTAGAGCCTCAGGTTGTGTTGCTGAAGAAAGTTTGAATTTTGTTAGTTTGTAGAGGGAAGCAGGTCAGAACCAGAGCTGCTGGTTCTGGTTCTGGGCGGAGATGCTGCAGCAGCGTCACAGCGCGGCATTTTGGGAAAATCTCACTTCTGGAAATGATTGTTACAAAACATGAAACTGTGACATCAGCAGCTCATGAACTGGTTTCTAACCAGCAGTGACTCCCAGTCCGGACCCGAACCAATGGGTTCCTGCTGGGAACGCCGTCCCTGCTGGGAACCGGTCCCTGCTGGGAACCGGTCCCTGCTGGGAACGCCGTCCCTGTTCCCATTCCTGGGATGTTTGTGTTTTAATAAAATGTTTTACAGCCGCTCTGTGTTTGGCTTTATTTTGGTAGACATGTTTCAAACATGAACAGAAATAGAAAGTTTTGACAGACTGGATCAATAAATTCTGTTCCTGAAGGTTCTGAGGATGAAATCCAGACAAAAAGATTCAGACCTGGAGGATGGATGATCCCACAGCTTCTGAGCTGCTTCAGATATGAAAACCAAACATGACAGAATAAAAACATTTTTTACATAAAACTATTTTAAGTCACTCCAAAGGCTCTGATACACATTTGTCTTTTCTTGGGTAAATAAACCTGCTTTAACACGAGCTGCACTGATGCCCTGACCAATATGGCGGCGGCAGAAGCTGAAATAAGGCTCGGTGATAACAGCAGAAACAAGTTTGAATCCCAAAATAATTGACTTTTTTCAAGTTCTTCAGAAAGTCATCTTGTATTTTTTATGTTTACATTAATTATAACATTCAGAAGTTCCGTTTGGATCACATTTTCCTTTTTTGTAGTTTTTCATTTTGGAGATTTAATATTTTAAATGTTTTACATTTTTGTAGATTTTTAAATTTTTTAAATCAATTTATTTAGTATTTTCTTTTAATTTTGTTGCATATTCAGTTATTTTTAGCATCGTTTTTAGTCCGGAGTTTTGCTTCGAGAAGCGGAAGTGACGCAGCGTCGTTAAGCGGCTCCATTTCCGTTCAGCGACCTTGTTCCGTTTGAACGTCTTTAGACAGAGAAGTTGAAGAAACGTTTCTGTTTTGCTCTTGTTTGGAGTTTAATCTGATTTATTTCACATCATTTCTCATCAATATTCTCCGGTTTCCGGTTTAATTTCAGGATTTTATCAACCGGGTCTTTATTTTCATCACGTGATCTGGTAAGGCTGTCACCATGGTGACACTGGCTTCGCTGAAAATGGCCGCCGCGGCACCGGAAGCGTCCGGCTGAGTTTAGGCAGTTCCGGTTCGGTTCTGGTTGAAACTTCAGAACCGTGAAGATGTTCGCTGATGAAGATCTGGACTCTGTGAGCGTGGAGTCCGTGTGGAGGAAATCCCAGCAGGGGGCGCAAGAGTCGGTAAGAGTTCAGAGGTCAGCCGCGGCTGATGCTCATCTGGTTCTGTTCTGAGTGACCCGGTTCTGGTTCTGTTCTGAGTGACCCGGTTCTGGTTCTGGTTGTTCCAGAGAGCCTGTCAGACCCCCGCTGTGACCACCGAGCACGCTGGAGTTCAGGCCGGGTCCAAAGCCTCCAGGTTCACCCAGACGGAACCACAGGAGCAGATGGACCCGAAACGAGCCTTCAGTGGTTCTGGTTCTGATCCACCCGGGCTGGTGGATTTTCTGAGGCGGGTCGAGGAGCTGCTCATCCGGGAGCTGGAGAAGAACTGCAGGAGTCACGCTTTTGACGGGTTCCGGGCAAACTGGGAGGAGAGAAGCCAACAGGTGAGTGGAAACAACCTGCAGAGAGAGGACAGCGACCCAAAGGACATCAACAGGGACTCATATGGAAGCTCCGAAAGGCAAAAACACAACATCTATAGAAGCCCTGAGAGGCAAAAACACAACATCTATAGAAGCCCCAAAAGGCAAAAACACAACATCTATAGAAGCCCCAAAAGGCAAAAACACAACAACTATAGAAGCCCTGAGAGGCAAAAACACAACATCTATGGAAACTCTGAGGCAAAAACACAACATCTATGGAAGCCCCAAAAGGCAAAAACACAACATCTATGGAAGCTCTGAAAGGCAAAAACACAACATTTATAGAAGCTCTGAGAGGCAAAAACACAACATCTATAGAAGCCCCAAAAGGCAAAAACACAACATCTATGGAAGCTCTGAAAGGCAAAAACACAACATTTATAGAAGCTCTGAGAGGCAAAAACACAACATCTATAGAAGCCCCAAAAGGCAAAAACACAACATCTATGGAAGCCCCAAAAGGCAAAAACACAACATCTATGGAAGCCCCAAAAGGCAAAAACACAACATCTATGGAAGCCCCAAAAGGCAAAAACACAACATCTATAGAAGCCCTGAGAGGCAAAAAACAGGACAGGAAGGATTTGATTGAAATGTTGGTCAGATTTTGTCTTTTTTTTGCTCACCTTTCAGGGAAAGAACAATTCTCTAAATAAGAATATTCCTAAGATGTTTTTTTTGTCCTCAGACTTTATTTTTACTAGCAGATGGAAGACTAATGACATTTGACTCTTCAAAAGAATTATTAGTTTATGAATATGTGTGTTTTTAGTCAGAAAGATTCATTTGAAAACTTTGCTTTTGTACTTCACCATTTTTATGTGTTCTTTGGGGTATCCATATTAATGTTGACATATTTACGGAAGCCCTGATTGGCCAAAAAAAACTTGAGAAATCAAATTCTCACAAGAAATGAGGAACTGGTGAGACTGGGATTGTTCCCTCAGGTCCTGATGTCCTGTTTTCATCTGGACTGTATGGAGGAACATTAGTGGAAAATGTTGACAGGATGTGATGTTTGCAGGTTTCCCATCTCCACAGACTGGAACATCCCGGCGCTCAGGAACAAGGCCTCCATGTGACCGGCGTGTCCTGGAGCTGCACCGGGTCGGTCATCGCCTGCGCCTACGGTCGGTACGTTCACTCATAATTCACACTCCGCCGCTTAAACCTGGAGAATCATTTAGTTTTATCACAAAAACTCACTTTTATAGGTTCTGTTGGCATATTCAACAGAATACCGTGTTGGTGTAGCGCATTAGCATTAGCATTAGCATCAGTATTAGCTGATACTGCCTCCCTTCCAGATTCCAACCAGGAATCAAATTTTTCTGTAACTCTGACCCGTTTGGACCGGCCCGGTTCCATCATGTCGTCGTGTTTCCCTCAACAGAACCGACGACGGAGACTGGACCAACCAGAAGTCGTGTGTCTGCCTGTGGAACCTGGACCGGCGCAGCCTGAGGCCCAAACAGCCGGACCTGGTTCTGGACGTTCCTGCAGCCGTCACCGCCGTGTGCTGCCACCCGGAGCGGCCCGCGCTGATCGCAGGTCCACAGAACCAGAACCGGACGCCTCAGCGCCGCCGGGCCAGAGCTCACCGGTCTGTGTGGTTTCCTGCAGGAGGCCTGTACAACGGGGAGGTGGTGGTGTGGGACACCAGCCGGACTCAGGACCCGGTTCTGGCCCAGACCGGCATGTCAGCAGACAGCCACAGGGAGCCGGTGTATCAGGTAGAACCCAGCAGAACCAGAACCCAGTGAAACCACAATGCAGCTTTGATGGTTCTGCTGTGTTGATGTGGCGCCGGCCCGGTTCTGCTCGCAGGTGTTCTGGGTTCCGCTGGAGAAGAAAGGAGAGTTTGGAGTTCTGAGTTCCAGTTCTGGAGGCGGGGTTCTGCTGTGGACGGTGGACCCGGACCAAAGCAGGATGGTTCTGGTCGCTGCTTACGCCTTCGTGCAGCAGCAGGTTCCCCACAGCAGCAGTCTGAAGGTGAGACCAGAACCAAACCGGACCGTGGAGGTCGGACTCTGGTTCTGGTACAAAAGTTCTGATCCGGACTTTCCGTCCTGGTTCTGATCATTTGGAAGCTAACGCGCTAATGTCAGTCAGATTGTATTTAGATGTTTGGATTTTCTCAGTTTTATTTTGTTCCTGTTCTTGTTTTAAATAAAGTTATTGCACAGGAA